AAGACGTGTGTGAGTTACAGCACCTTTTTTTTTTTTTTTTTTAGAAAAAAAGCATTGAGGAGGCCTATGAGCGTAGAGGAGCACATACAGTAATTAAACCAGAGTTCAGAGTACAACTATTGGTAATAGTTGTTTATGACTTAGCTGGAGATTGTGGGAATTGAAGTCCATCTTTTGGGCATGTAACAAAAGATTGGAAAAGGTGGCCTAGGAGACCCTAATGATTGTTTTTGCAACGATCATCATTGGGCTGCATTATTATTATTATGGTTTGTCACACAGTCAACCAGATGTTCAGACTAGATTTGGCATTTTTGTCCATTTATTCCCAAGGACCTGGGATGGGCAGACTAGATATTCAGACTAGATTTGGCATTTTTGTCCACTTATTCCCAAGGACCTGGGATGGGCAGATGTGGATGTTTGATGGTGTTACAGATATCATGGCAGGATGTAAGTTGTTCCAAGTAAAGCTGCCTTTTGCAATTGACTGATGGTGAAATTGTCAATGCTGATGGTGTCCAATTGTTTTGGGATTGCAGCCAAGGAATCTATTACTATTGGTACAACCTTTGCTTTCTTTTGCCAAAGTTCTATTTCTATTTGCAGGTCTTTGTATTTTGTTGTCTTTTCCAGTTCTTTCTCTTCTATTCTGCTGTCTCAGGATACTGCCACATCTTATTATTTTCAGTACGACTATTGCAATATACAAAATGAAAACAAAAAATATTATCACATCATACAAAGCAATATATAAAAACAGAACAAAGAGAAAGGAAAACTGTTATAATATATGGTGACAGCATATATATCCTGGAAGCCCTGGTAGCGCAGTGGTTAGAATGCAGTATTGCAGGCTATTTCTGCTTATAGCCTGAAGTTCAATCCTGACTGGCTCAAGATTGACTCAGCCATTCTTCCATTCTTCCAAGGTCGATAAATTAATTTCCATTAATGGAAAATTGTATAAGAATAATTATGAACGCTTATGGATTAAAGTTCAAAAAGATTTAAATGATTGGCAAAAACTGCAACTATCGTTACTGGGGAGAATTTCAGTAGTAAAGATGAATGTTCTACCAAAGTTTCTTTTTTTGTTTCAGATGATACCTATTTTAAAGAAGGATGCTAATTTGGATGAGTGGCAGAAGGGTATCAATAAATTCATTTGGGGTGGGAAGAAATCAAGGGTAAAGTTTAAGATTTTACAAGATGCTCAAGAAAGAGGTGGACTTAAAGCACCTAATTTGAAATTATATTATGATGCGGCCACTTTAACTTTAGTAAGTGACTGGCTTAATTTAACAAATAAAAATATTCTTGTTCTTGAAGGGTGGGATTTATTATATGGTTGGCATGCATACTTAATTTTTGATAAGAAAGTAGATTGGGTCTTTAAGTAACACATTTTAAGATATGCTCTACTTCGAGTTTGGAAGAAATATTATTATAAGTTAAATTATAAAATACCTATTTGGGGGATTCCTGGACAAGCAATTCTAAGGGGGTGAATTTTGATAACATTTCGTACAAAGAGTTGCTTATTTGGTCGGGTACTGATTGGCAACTAAAGTCTTCAGATGTGTTAAGGCAAGAAAATATTTTACAATCGTGGTTTCAATATTTGCAAATAGTGCAGAGGTGGACTTTAGATAAGAAAGTGGGAATTACTTTGGTAGATGAAAATTTGGTAATTCAGATTAAGGATCAGAAACATGCCCATATTAAAAGAATTTACAATGAGCTAATAAAATTGGATTCGGAAACAGAGTTAGTAAAAGATTGTATGATTAAATGGGCCCAGAATTTTCAGGAACCGATTTCATTGGATTTATGGGAGGTAATTTGGATTAGAAATGTTAAATTTACGCAGGCTCAAAATTTGAGGGAAAATTTTTATAAAATGTTTTATAGATGGCATCTGGATCCTAAAAAGTTGTCTTGTATGTACCCGAACCTGCAATCTAAATGTTGGAGATGCGGTTGCTTGGATGCAACCTATTTTCATGTTTGGTGGACTTGTAAAAACATTAAAGCCTTCTGGATTATGATTTGGTGGAACATTCAAAAGGTTTTTAAAAGGAAGATTAAATTTACTCCCCAGTTGTTTCTTTTGGGTATTTTTGTGGATTTTGATGCTAAAGAAACTATCTTAATGTTGAATTTAATAACAGCAGCAAGATTATTGGTGGGTCAATATTGGAAGAAGGATACTCTGTCTTCTTTAGAAGAATGGGTATTTAAGGTTTCTAATTTAGCAGAAATGGCTAAAATTTCTGCTTATTTAAAGGACCATTCACAAGAGAGATATTTTAATGTATGGAGAAGATGGATAGAATATGTTCAGAAGAAGTATGGAACTACAAAGTTTCACTTATTTTATGAATAATGAATTTGTTTATAAACTTATGATGTTAAAGTTTGAAGAGAGTTAAGAGTTAGTATGATTTTGGTTATTGTATAATTAGTAAACTTTAATAGATTATGTTTAATATGTTTGTATAACCCTGTACTTGGCTCTGGGAAGTCGGGGGGGGGGGGAGGGGGTGGGGGGAGGATGGGTTGAAGTTTAAGTAGCTCAGATAAGTAGAAATAGTTTTATTGTATATAATATTGATGTTTTAATTTGGAGAGAGGAATTGTTCGGGCATTTCCCCTGGACCGCATCCGGAGCGAGAAGATAGAAGAAGGGGAGAAATAAGTAGGAAGGTTGAGAAGAAGGAGGAGAGGGGGAGAGTAAGAAGAGGGAAAGAGGCAAGTTGGTTAGAGGGTGGATGCGGTTTGGGAGGAAATGAGTGAGCAATACCGAAAGTTGCGTGTATCAATTTGTTTTATTTTTTATCTGAAGTATTTTTATAAATGTAATGTATTGTAAAATTGAAAATAATTTTTTTTACAAAAAACAACAACAACAAAAAAAAGCGAGGACACAGATTGTTGGGGGTAATATGCTGACCCAGAGAGTGCTGTAAAGCACTATGGAGTGGTATATAAATCTAAGCACTATTGTTATTGCTATATATTAAATCTTATTAAACATGCATGAAGTAACATTGGTCAATCTTTCCATTAATTCAAGGAGGGAGCCCAAATTTTCAAGTGTGGAATAGCTTTTCCAGTGGAAGTACAACCAGTGCTTTTCAATATTCTTTGGTCTGACACTTTACTTAATTATTTAGAACATTTTTAAAATGGCTTTTGAAAATATTTCAGAAATGGTAGAAGCTGCTGCTATTGCTTTTTCTTTCTTATCTCTCTACACTCTGCAGCCTTCCTGGTTTTTCATGATTCTGAAAAAAAAAACAAAAAAAACCCCACAGGCAAAATTCCCCCATATGTGTTTCAGTGGGATTAGATTAAGGTGTGGGAAGCCATATAAGCTGCAAAGTGCTATAGTGAGGGTACAACATGGAAGACAGAAGAGCATCTTTGGTCATCTCATAAGGAGCAGAAGTGCTAAAGTAACATGTCTTTTTTCTTGGTAGCTGTAGTGGAATAGTTTTCCCATCGAACTGAATGAGAAGCAGGGATGGTGGGGACAAAACTGGCATGGCATTAGCTTTCACTAGCATCCTACATTTCCAACACTTTACTGAGCCAATTTAATTCTGATTCAACCATTGAGTAGGATGTCTGAAAGGGTAATGCCGCAGTTGGGTTTCTGCTTCTTGGTGGCTTCATGGTGCCACACTGCACTTCCCCAAGCTTTTTCAGTTGAGTGGAAAGATGGCTTTACAGCTCTCCCTCACAGTGAGATCAGTTTGAAAACAAATTGCTATGAAAATGCTCAGCAAGCTAAGGACGAGGGTAAGGTGAACTGCTAGTTCAGTATTGTGCATTTGGCTGAAGGAGACACTATTTAATTTACCCAGATAGGATAGTATTTCTGGAATGACTGTGTGAAGACAATTTTTGGTAGTTTGGTGAACAAAAATGATGGCCGTGGAGGTGCCTTATTTTTTTTTCTGTATATCAGTTTGTATATTACACCATATTATTTCTAACTAAGAATGGGCCTCAGGTTCACCGAGAAATTAACTTAAATTAACAGAATTTTTATACTATTTTTTCTTCCTACTGGAGTGTCCAACTTCTAGATTTTTGTTGGAAAGAAAAACGAGTCACTTAACTGTTCATATTGCCTTCCTGGATGGAGATAAAGAAAGTGGGGAGATACCGAGCAGCTGGAACAGAGGATGTAGCTGTGTCCTTGAATAATGAAGTCACTGGGGAGAGTCTCTTTTCTTGCTGGTTGCCTGGACAGCAAGAAATGATAGCTCTTATATGCTAATGAAAATGAACATAATAAGTTTAGCAGTTGCATGGTAGCTGCAAGATCTGATTTATCTGTTGATTTATCAAGTGGCTCATGTCTACATATATATCACCGGGTAAACATTCACAATTACCTCTCTGTGAATAAATATAAAGTATAGCAGATCATGTATCTTTCTCCTTGCAAACACTATGATATCTACTAATTCCATAAGTAACCTATAGATGCAAATATATAACTGAGGAACTCATGCTTTTGAAATGACAAGGCAACCCACTCAAGAAAGAGAAGAATCCAATTTCTCCTGTTCTTGAAGCCAAAACCAGCAACTCTGATGAAACCCTTTATCTAAATTCTAAACCCTTAAAACAGGCCTTTTATTCTGACATGTGGATATACAGGCATTTGCATGTGGTTCTAAGAAACCACAAAGGCCTTGCTAATTTTCATTAAGCAGGATCCCAGTGGAGATTTCATCACCTAAAAACAATTCTTTGGGATTAAAAGTTAAAATCCTCACCACTATAATGTCAATAGAAGAGGCCTTAAGCATGGCAAGGTTTGACCCTTATTTTCATTATATTTTTACGTGGGACAATGGTTACTCCATAAGTATTTCTTGGATCACATCAGCACTTTGAGCTGCATTGTAATTTATGCCTATTCGTCTCTTGAGGCCATTGTGCCGTTTTCCAGGATTGTAACTTATTTATTTTTATTCCAGCTATGAAGGGGATGTTTTGATGGATTATAACCTCAGCAAATGTCTAACCCTAAACCAGCAATGACAACTCAGAGACTTAAAACAGATCTTCTGCTTTCTTGGCAAAGGACTGGGCCTCAGTCTTTAGAGGGCTTCTGATACTCTATCTCCCTCTACCGGTACTCCTAAGACATTCTCCAAGGATGGGAAATCATGTTCTTGCCGCTTCAATTTCCATGCTGTCCCTTTTGGCAATAATGGGAGATACAGGCAATAAAAAGGATAGTACTTTTATGATTGATGCAGACCCAGGGCGATGTATGAGACATCACTATGTTGATTCTATCAGCCATCCTTTATACAAGTGCAGCTCAAAGGTAAGTGTTGCTGGAAACTTCTCAACCTTTGTGAAATTACTACAAGCATTACCAAACTTGTAAGGAAGGACAATTAAATTTTCTAAAAGGAAATATTGGCTTAACATCAATACATAATTGTTTATAAAATTAGATTAATTCCAGAGATGTTTTGATGTTATGCAAGATCATCATAAAATGATCTTTTATCACCTGAAGTGATGTAAAAATGTGTGCTTCTGTCCACTTCATTTAGAGGAAGAAGCTGAACTAAAATTTCAATAAACTTCAGTTCACCTAATAGGAGAGAGTTCTCAAATAGCAGACAAATTGAACAAAGGGCAAAGTAGATTATGTAATATACACTGCTCTGTTTTCTACAGTGGAAAACATTTAAAGCGTTCAGGAGAAAATCTTGTTCTCTTGCAAAATAAGTACAATTATAAATTTCTCTCTTACTCTATGGTTACACCATTACTCTTTTCTTTCCATTATCTGTCCTGTAATCCACTATTTATTTATTTGTTTGTTTGCTTTTATTTATATCCCGCCTTTATCATTTTTATAAAAAACACAAGCATACCTAATATTCTTTCCTCCTATTTTTTCCACAACAGCCACTCTGTGAGGTGAGTTGGGCTGAATGAGAGGCACAGTTTTCATGTCTAAAGAGGAACTAGAACTCACAGTCTCCTGTTTTGTAGTAGTTTAACCAAACTTTTTATTTCTGTTCTATGCAAAAACCCATAAGGGATTTTTTACTCAACAGTAAACATAGATATTGCCTTTTCTGTAATCAAAAAAAGCAATTTGGTTATCTCAGAAACGTCCATCAATCTTTACCAACTATTCCTCCATTGTGGACAATTTTCCCATCTTTGTGCATACAATAATCTCACTGCAGTTATAACATATCATAACAAAGTTCCATGAGTTTTTTCTAATAGTTTCTCCATCAATCCCAAAAGACTTTTGTTCTCAGTTGTATATCTTTAAAATCCTCTGAATCAATGCGTATATTTGAATCCAAAACTTTCTAGCTTTTTTACATGTCCACCAAACATGATAAAATGTCCTTTGTTGTACATGTTTCCAGTTTGAATTTGAAATGCTAATAAACATTTTAGACAATTTATCTTGTGACATATCCCAATAGTACATCATTTTACTAAAATTCTCTTTAAAATTATAATAGTCTAAATTTCAGTCCTTTCAGTCACAAACTTTCCCTTTGGTCCATCTGTATATTAAAACCAAAATTCATAGTCTACTTCATCATACATTCTTTAACCTGGTTTTGCTCTGTTTCGAATTTCAGTTTAGCAATTACATATTTATCAATGCACAATTGTACTTTAAATTCAGTCTTATTTTCTCCATAGCATATGTAGATGACTGCAAACTTAGACTAATTTAATGGATTCCTGCACAATGTAGGGGGTTCAACTGCTGTAATTTTAATTAAGTTAAGTGTACATTAAGGAACTCTTCATTGTTATTCTTTCACCCAAACATACACCTTGACTCCAAGGCTGGTGACAATACTAGTCTAGAATCTGAATTTGTATTAGGTTCTATGAAATGACAGATGATGCACCATTTTTAATTTACACATTTGCCATAATAAATTACTTAATTTTTGCAATATTCAGCATTTCAGTTAGGTTATTTTATAGTGTGGCCTTACAATTCCCCTTTCTTTATGTGACACATGGTATAAAAGTTTACAATTGTGAGATTGTGAAGAACTGCTTTTGAGTTTCTGTTTCTCTGTGGCGTGCTGTTCTGTCATTCTGGAGCTTTTCTGGCTGTCCATGAATCCTGATTAGGAAAAAAAACCCTTCTGGAGAGTTCCTCATAGGATTTCCCCTCAAAATTTAATTAAATGTGGGAAGTCAGGGTGCAAATACATAGACTAGAAATCAGGACATACATACCTTTCAGCCATCGATATATGCATCAATCAATATACAAGTTTTGTTCTCCTTTTGAAAGAAATGTCTTTTTATTAAATTGAATGAGGTTGATTAAAAATACACTAAAAATATTGACATACCACACATATTCTTATACAGTTAATACAATATGCAATTTCCATGATATAACATTTATAGTATGATATTACTATAAGTTTTATACAGACTTTAAAATGGCTCAGCAACATACATAAGACCTCACCAGTTTATGACTTGGGGTGTAAGAATCATACACCATCTTCTACTGGTGTCATATGTTTGCACTCTTTAGGACTAACTCTTCTCTTCTGACCTTCTGGTCTCCTTCCTTTACAGATGGTGCTGCTAGCTCGCTGCGAGGGACAGTGCACTCAGACCTCACGTTCAGAGCCAATGGTGTCCTTCAGCACAGTTCTGAAACAGCCTTTCCGATCCACATGTCATTGCTGCCGGCCACAGACTTCTAAACTGAAGGCCATGCGCTTGCGCTGCTCTGGTGGAATGAGACTTACTGCCACCTACCGCTACATCCTCTCATGCCACTGTGAGGAATGCAACTCTTAAGGGCAAACCTGCTGCAGCAAAAAGAACAGGAAGGGCAAATGTCCTCCAGCAGAACTTCCAGAAGCAGAAGCAGCTAGGGACAACCTTCCAATGGTTTGCTGTTGCTACAACCAAGGATAATTAGAATGGATTTCATTTGAGAGAAGGAGCCACATAGATACATGGGGTTGTACCAAGCAATACAACAGACACCAGAATGTATAATTGCACATCGTTGTTGAAGATGTAACCATTTGTGAGGGTGAGGAATGGGAACATATGTTGTTAGAAATCTCTCATTCGGGTTCTTGGGGTCATTTTTCTATGTCAGTGATTCTTTAATATAGATAAGGTCAACTTAAGAATTACGGCTCTTGGTTTGAATGTTCAGCCAGCAACACAAAAGAACCAGGGACATAGAAAATGCATACAGTGGATGCTATTATGTGGAAAACAATTTATTCTACAAGAAAACAAAGACTCTTTCCCTGTACACAGAAGCCTATTGTGTCTTTTAAACATGCCCTTTAGTTTATACTGGCCGTGAAAACAGACTGTGTTGAATAGTAAAAGATATATTTTATATGGTCTGGCAGCCAAGTGTTGGACAAGTTATTGTGATTTAGGTGCAGTTACAAAATAAATAATAGAAAATTTATGGAACTACCAGTGTGGCTTCTCCAGTATTGGGAAGGTATATTTACAGTCAAAAGTTGAAATCTGGAAAACAAGCTGCTCCCCCTCCCCTTTCCCTTTCCCCTTCCCCTTCCCCCTCCTCATCCTCCAGAAAGAAAATGTTACACATTCTTGGTCAGTATTATAATATTAATCTAAATCTACCAAAATAATAATACTTGGTTTTGCTTTCATTTATATGTAAATACAAGTTTAAATAAAGATTTATCTTAAATGTATGCATCACTCAGAAAAGATACTATCGGCCGATTACTCACAACATAGTGAAATAGTATGCACACATTTTTGTAGCGGCATCATAAGATTTTTAAGTTTAAGTTCATTGAAAAATTACATTTGTTCATTGATATTGTACATTCTCCAATGAATATAACTTCCTGATTCAAAGTTACAGCTGACACAAAAGGGAATTATAGAGAGTAAAATTAGGAGAGAACTGGAATTCTCATCACAAAGGCCTTGATATAAGGATCTCACCGTTGTAACTATAGTGTACAATGATTTTACTTTGCATAGGCTTTTATAACAATTTAGAGTGATTCTTGGATGCTGATGTGTTCTTCAGAGCAACTAAACAGTTTCAGAAAGTTTGTGGATCCATAGAAACTGTCAACTCCCTAATTAATTACACCATAGTCTAACAATTATGGTCATATTAATATAGTTAGCATAATTTAAAAATATATATATAATGAGGGCTTAAACTGAGAAGGCAAGCAGCCCATCTGTTCTATGTCATATATTCTATCTGGAATACTTGCCATATAGAGCAATCAGGATTTTGACAATTACATCAGAGAAATTCCATTAAACACATTGAAAGAGTCCTCTTGGTCTCTTGGGTGGATGGTTGCCTAGCTAATGGAAATAACAAATGAAATGACCTGATGAATATATAGCCAAGCATCTTTGTGAATCACATGCCCATAATTATGATCATCCAGGGAATGCCAAAATTTGTTATTATTGACCTTTCATCAATAGAGAGATCAGTAGTTGCAACTGTGGGTTACTTTCTGCAGTTAAATTAATAAGATGAGGGGTCCTTGGTGCTCTCTGAGCTTGCTTGTTTTCTTGCCGACATTTCATTACACAAACTAGGGCAATACTAGCACTGAGGATGTTAGCTAGTTTGGGTAATGAAACTTCGGCAAGAAAACAACCAAGCTCAGAGAGCACCAAGGACCCCTCATTTCAACCCTGAGCTACAAATATTCTCTTTTATTAGTAATTAATAAGATATTCATGGCAGAGACTTTTAGAACATTCAGTCACCATGGCAGATATGCATTGTTTCAGAATAATCTTTCCATTGCCATTGTGAAAAGTATTTTGAATATTTTTCCCATCTTTTCTTTTATATTTCCATTTCTGTTATTGATAGAGCTGATATACAGCTAATAAAATTTTATATCTATGGTGGAGATTGGCAATTTGTGGTCTTCAAATTATGATTAGCAGTATATAAGTCTCATAAATAAATAAATAAATAAATAAATTTCAGTCAGACCCAGCAAACATGTTAGTGGATGATGTAAATTGTAGCTCAATACTATGAAGTGCCACAGGTTGCATACCTCTGAGTGGATTTTTTGATTTTCTATACCTTCATATAAATCTGTTAACATAACATAGTCATAGACAACTATAGAAAGGTAAGGTTTAATGGTTGGTACTTTATTGACCCTGTTAATGATTTTTCTTCTTTTAATGAAACCTTTTTGCAAAGAGATGACTAGTAACTGTTTCAAAGAATTGAACTATCAAGTAAGAAATATGATTATCATATCACAAAAAAAATCTTTGAAAACCAAGCTGTTAACATTCACATTATCAAATTAACCAAAATGCAAGAATTCATTGGCTTTAACTGATTTTTGTTAACACTGTGAAAATAATAAAATTGTGAGTTGTCCAGCAGATGGTCAGGACATTTGTAGAGATCACTGAATCCAAGTTCCTTCATCCATCACAACAGGGATCAAGTGCTATAATGTCTTTCTGACCACAGAATCAAATCCAGATGTTCACAGATTTCAGTCTAATTCTATGTTCCTGGCTAAGCTATTTTTTTCCATCTAGAATGCTTATAGTTTTATCTCTCTATAACTAATGTGGCCTATACTTGACACATATATTATACAGAAATATTGAAATTTTCATTGAATTTCTGAAACAATCATTTATTTATTTTACATTCAGGAGACTTCGAACCATAAGCTGTGGTGGCTACTCCAATAGTTGAAAAAGTTTGGCAAATGCATTGATTTATAACTCAAACATTGTGACAAGTATTTATCTAGATGTAGATAAACCCAAAGTCAAAGCCTTTCTTTGGTTTAACTTATTTTTTCCCAGCAGCAGAGTAGATTTCTTTCTGCTCAGTTCTTCCTTCCTTCCTTCCTTCCTTCCTTCCTTCCTTCCTTCCTTCCTTCCTTCCTTCCTTCCTTCCTTCCTTCCTTCCTTCCCTCTGACTAGCTGACTCTTCTTGGCTACAGGAATGTCTTCTGCAGGCTCAGGGTTTCCAGAATCAAAATTCAACAAGCATTAGACAATCAACAAACCAGAAAATATTACATCAATCAATGGAAGAGGAATAATTGATTTAAAGTTATATTGAGACAGAGTAAAGTGATCTTACAGGTAGCTTTGGGAAAACAATTTAATGGTGATTATGAATGGATGTATGTGTATGTATGTGAACAGGATTGTAAGGGGCGTGCTTAGAGTGTACACATGTATAGCTTGTAAGTATAATTACAGCTATTTTGGCCACATCTATTTTCCTCACCCATTCCAGCTCCTGACATATTTTTCAAGAATGAAATGAGATTGTCAACTCTCAATAGATCAAATACCAATTTACAGAACTCATTGTTTTTCCACCTGGTGACATTTTGAGATATTAATGTAGAGCCAAGAGGTTCAGAATTGAATAATAATACATTATTCATGTACTGTCCCATTCCTTCTGTTGCACACCAACAAATAAATCTGATAGCATCTTTTCTGATTAACAAATTTTATTAAAGGGGAGAACTTTTATCAAACATTATCATAGACTAACATGGTCCTCCTGCAACATCAACACAATTAATGCACATGATAAGTAAAAGGGTTAGTTCAATATTATACTTTTGCTCTAGGAAAAAAAAATATTTACAGTAAGTGAAAAGACTTTAGGCTCATCACGGCGCAGCCTTTTTCTTCGTTATTTAAATGTCAGAGTTATTATCATACAATTTAACTCAGAAAGGATAACGTGCATAATATTAACTTTTACAAATTTCTTCCATTTCTGTTATAAAATGTTCAGAATTATATATTTGCATATTAAGATGTCAGTGTCAATCTCCTACACAAATTAATTGCTAAGCCAAACAGTTTAAGGATTAATTGAAGTTTAAGCATCAAGGCAGCCAAAAAGCTATTAAGATATTACAGTGTATACAATTAGATTTAGATGTTCAGTGTAGTGTGAATGCATTAAGATTATGCTGTCAGGGGAGCTACATTATTTGTTCATCTATTTTTTTTAAAAAAAATGATCACTCCCAAGCGTCTTGGTGGTTTAGTCAAATTAAACATATTAAAACAACAAGTCTCACAATAATATAAGCAATTAGACATTGTTAAAACTCAATTGGAAAAGATGTACCAGGTGGATAGGTGGCCCCATATTCCTGGGGAGTGAGTTTCACATCAGACCATCTCCAATCATTCTTCCCAGGTGTCTTCAAGAGGTAATATGAATCTTGAAGGGGGTGGCATTCTTTTACATATCACAGGCCAAAGCCATCCAGGACTTTAGGAACAACATCTTACATTCTACCCCAAAATGAACTGCCAGTCAGTGTGGCATTATAGCATTGATAAAACATGGTGTGTAAGATATAACCTGGGAACCAACTAGGCTGCTGCATTTTGAACCAATGGAAGTTCCTGACTTACACATAAGTGCACCTCTATGTAGGGCATATTATAAAATTCAAGTCCAGAGTACCACTGTTTTAAAGCCCATGTCGAGCCCTGCAAGGCTGCAATGGTGCGTGTTAGAGGAAAGACCAATGAACCCCGCCGCCGGTCAGCCGCTCTGAACATTGGCCAGCCTTTCCACGCTCCCCGGATTCTTGCCAGTCGCTTCCCAGCTGATTGTTTACTGGCCGCCTTCCAGCTGACTCCGAGCCTCCCGACACCACCGTGGAGTGTATTGATAGTTCCCGGTGCCCACTGGGGGTGGGGACTGGCAAACGGGAACGTCATAGTGATCCGAGGACAGCTTGGGATTGGATGGAGTGCCAGATGGGGGAAAGGGACACAGGAGCGCTGCTGGCGCAGTGTTAGTAAACTCTGGGACTTCGCAGGGCCCGACATAAGAAGCAGGATGGTTATGAAACCAGCTAATGAGCCGGAGGGGGTGCAGTTAGCACGGCAATTATAATGTCAGCACCGGATGGTGGTTTACTGGGTGGGGTTAGCTTCATTATAGGTGGGGCGGACTGCTCCCTATGTAAAGGTGCTGAGAGCAGGCCAGTTCTCAGTGCTGACTTTTCCTTTTGCATACTGCAGTAAATTTCAGTTTGTTCTTCGTTCCTGTTTGTGACTTTTTATTTCCTTGCGGAGCTCCAGGCCAGGATGTTGTAACAGCCATATTATCTAGGAATGGTTGCAACTAGTGTGCCAGTTGGAATTGATAAAACGAGTTTCTGGCCACAAACTCCCCCTGGCAATTACAAAGAATCATTTTTTAGAATCATTCCCAAATTGTATTCCTGTTAGGAGAGTATGGCTCATCTGGAGTACGTGGATTTATCATGGATCTATAATATCCCCTCTTGAAGTAACTTCTTCAGTCTTATCTGCATTCATTTTCAATATATTTACCTTCATCTTCTAACCCATTATTATTCATAGGCAAACACTAAGAGGATCTATACAAATTGCTTAATGGTGTTGATATATAGAAGCAGGAACTGTCATCAGTGTACTCACATTTTATTCCAAATATTATGACGATCTCTTCCAACAGTTTCATGTACTGTATATATTAAAAAGCCTTGAGGACAAATGAAGACTGCGGGGGATTCCACAAACAATTGCTGCTGTGTGGAATAAGCAAGATGTTGAGACAGACAGGAACCAAGTGCAATGCCTCTAAATCTACTAGGCTGCTCAGAATAATATCTTGGTTAGCAATGCTAAAAAAAATCTATGAGAATAAATGGCATTTATACTCCCTTGTTTTTTCTCCAGTCATAGATTATAATTAGGTCGTCTAAGGTAGTTTCACTTCTATATTTTCCTCTGAACAAATTTTAAATGGGTTTTGCTAATCTATTCTATTTAGATCTGTCTGAAGCCAACCAGCCACCACCTCCTTGATTACCTTCCCTTGGCACGAAGAACAGATCTGTAAGTTCCAAGTCTAATGGATCTAAAGTGGGCTTCTTAAGCAAAGACCTAATGAAATGCTCCTTTAAACCAGGGGAGGAACTATCTTTCATCAGAGATGCATTAATCATATTTTCTAGGCTAGCTGCAAGTATACAACAAGATATTGTATCAAAGTAAGAGGAGTGGTGTGGATCTCATTACTTCCCACAACTTACCCATATATATTTTTTTTTACCACATGAGACCTAGAAATATCCATCACTGACTAGGTCCAAAACAGCATTCATATACACTCTCACAGCAAACTTCAAAAATTCTGTCCCTGAATTAAGAGGTCGAGGAAGAGATGTCAATTTTCTCACAACACAGATAGGAAAATTGAAAACATTCCTGAAAGTTAACAAACCACTTCTATAGTGTTTATCAAGGAATAAACACTAGATATGACCATGTAGACAAACTCAGCTGCAAACTTTAACATTTGCTAGGCTTTGCACAATCTTTCTTTGAGTTTTTGTTTTTGGGCTTTAGAGTTTGTAGGTATTGCTAATTCCTTTTTCAGAGACACAGCCAATAGACTCTAGTAAAAATCTTGTGATTCGTAGGAGTATGTCTTATATTTCAAAACTGATTAGTTCTTTAAGACAGTCAGTTTAATGCTTACTTTTTACATCTATAAAACTGAATTAGTGGAATGGCCATTTAAACATTTTGTAAGTACAGGCAGGT